AGAGCTGCAAGTAAAGAAATTGTATATATATTTTTTGTACAGAAAGCACACGAAGTAAATCCTGCTTTGGATCACAGAGGTCAGTGAACAGTAGAAAAAAAGATACAATTCTTCACAATCCAGTATCTTGGGGGTACCGTAAAAATGACTTCTGAGAAACTTTTTACTAAGTCTCTCTCTCTTTTTTTTTAATTAAACTTTAACTCTTTTTGTGCTTACTTGCCTAACTTGTTACATTCACTTTCTTCAGAATTTCTTGCAAAGACTTGAAGTCTACTAAAAAAGTGTCTAGTTAAAAATATAGCCTCTTTGTGGCCAGAATAGAGTCCACCACATTCTGCGGGACACTGGAGCATCATTAAAACATCATTTTCTGTTCTTGTGTTCTCCTTCCCTATGCAGGGAAGTCAAAGTGTCTCTTTTCTCAAACAGACAAACTGAAAGATCAAAGGAGTAGGAGGAAGGAGCAGAGCCCCTTCCCAAGGGGCAACTAAGCAAAACAGTTGCACTACGGAGCACAAGATTCAACAGGTATGGTTCACTTCCTTCCCCAAACAACACAGAAAGCAGGAGAGAAAATGTTAATTCATCTCACCTATAGCACATTACTTATGGATACATACTGAGACTCCAGAAATCTGCATAAAATTCTCCTAGAATATAATTCAAAGCCCATATTTGATGACTGGCATTTACCTGGCAGCCTTAATCATTTTCAATTTAACAAAACACTCCCTAAGAAAGTGATCTGCCCTCTTTTCTAATCTCTGTCTAATGGATAAAATTATTGTCTATATCCCATCTGTAGCATGATCTGGTCAACTGCACTGTCTTCCTATTGTACCTTTGCAAGCCTCTAAAGGCTATCACAGGCACTGCCCAAGTATAACAATCTGGAAAATGTTTTTCAAAATTTTAAGAGATTTTTTTGAAATTAGCCTGCTTTTCACTTTAACCAGTACATCTCATCAGCATTTCTGAATGATGCTTGTTGTGATTTGGTTGATATCCAGTAAATTCTGTGAGTCACACCGAAAGGCTTGTCAAAAGCTTTTACGACACATCGTTTCTGAAGAGCTTTTCTGAAATGCTCAAACATTGATTCTGTTGCCTTCCAACTGATCACTGGTTTCACAGTTTAGCAAGAAAATGTATGCTATCAGTTAACTAATTGCTCCACTAAAGTTAAAGGCCAAACATACAGGCCACTTGAAAGAGTTTCAGTAACTTCAAACAATATTCAATTATTTTGCTTAAAACCCTCCACCTTTTAAAGAACTCTGTTTGAAGTAAGGTATGAAATGACGTTTTTCCACTTCCATAGTTCATAGTATAAGGAAACGAGAAGATGAGAAGAAAACATTACCAATTTTTTTTTTTTAATCATTTACCATTCCAAACTTATTTACTACTTTCTCCAATTAAAATGTATTATAAAGACTTTCCTTCATAATTAGTCATTGGTTCCTGCTCCTATTTGAAGAAGCTTGGCTGCCCTATTCACAGCACCTTGCGGCCCAACAGACAGTTTCAATTCATTTCCTACTGCAACGGCTACATTCAAGAATTGAATACTTTCCAGTTCAGTTCTTACGTTAAAACTGATTAATGTTCTAATGGGAATACAGAAAAGCAGATATAGGACCTTTCCATGAGAGGAACAATGTCACCCTATTAAAGGATAACAAATAAAGGAGAACAAAAATGATGTTAACAGAGACGGGAAACCAAGATAGACACTCTAGTTGGTGGCTAAAGCTAAAGTAAGCTTTATGCCATCACACCTCTAATTCTGCCAATACATTAACGGCACTGTAGCTGCACCTACTTGCACTGTGCTACCATAAGCACGAGAGAGCACATATCAATACAGAACTACATTTCAGGCAGAGGAAAACTCAACAAAGACCTGAAACTGTTAAACTGTAATTAAACTATAGCCAGCCCTTGCACAAATAGAGCAATATAAGGCCTACGTTGTCCCCCAGGTTTGACGCTGTAGTAACGTGTATATCTAAGATATAGGAGAAAAGTGAATTGAGACATGAGCTGGCTTGCTTTACTGCCCTACAGTGTAAAGTATGTGGAACATCTGCACTTGCCAGCTCGACTGAAACAGAGAAAATAAAAAGGCTCTACTCTTCTATTCAACAAGGAAATAAAATGTGAGCATTAAACGCAGCAAACAAAGTCCCTGTGGTTGACCTTTGTAAGAAAGTTAGAGAACTGAATTTCTGCACTTTCTTAAAGAAACAACACTTATTCAAAATACACCTGCACATAAATGAACTATACAGCCAATCTTCAACCTTTCTGAAAAGGATGCTAACTATACCAATACTCAAAACAATCAGGAGCGTTATGACTTCCTAAGTTTCAACAATGGCTCTTACTAAAGAGCTGTGAGAGGCAATCACTTTACCTTTCAGTCTCAGTTTTGGTGAAAGAATGCCAGAAGTAGGGATGTTCTTACAGGTTTTTCTGACAATCTGCTCATACCTTGTGAAGCAATTTTATCACACAAAGCTATGTAAACATCTAAACAGTTAAGAGCAAGACATTAGTCTATGAAAGATCAAGTGAGAAGACTAAAGAAATATGTATTTTAAAGTCACAAATTAAATGAACCAAATATTTGTTTTTTCACATAACTTAATATAATCCTTCCAGAGCATATATTGATACCTGCTGTTGCCTTTGCCGTCGCATCTGTGCAACCTGAGACATCATGATTTGACGATCCAGTAACTCCATCCTCTGCTGTCTCTGGATGTCCACTGTTGCTCCCATTCCCACTCGAATTTCATTCGTTGGTTCCGCAGATGAGAAGATTGGTTCAAGAGTCCAAGAAAATATCTTTGCTACCCAGCTGGGTACACAAAGAATTTGATGAACTTTTAATATACTGCTATTGTAGCAAATCCCAGAAATCTAAAAAGGAAAATGAAAAAAAATCCTTAAATATACCAAATATACTTTTTATTTGGCTGGTAGATTCTTTCTGTTTTTTAAAGCACTTTCTTTTTTTTTTTCAGTCTATTTACCCAGAGTTCTTAGTCAAGAATCAAAGAAACAACAGGGGATTTCTTTACCTCTAACTTCCCCACAACTACCGACTTGCTTTTTAAAATCTGTGTACTGCATTGCCTGTGACTCAGAAAGTTGCTTGGGGTTTTTTGTTTGTTTCAGGATTTGAACCCAAACCAAGTAACTGTTTTTATAGCAGGACAAAATTCAAATGACATGAGAAGATTAAGCTGCGCTTGTGAATGCTGAAGCATTATAAACATTTCTTAACAAAAAGCAATTCCCTTAAGCCTCCTCCCACCCACCCCAAGTCTCCCTTTCTAGTAAAAAACACAAGAAAAATACCTAACTTAAAGCTAAATCTAAGAGCATATACAGATTTATTCCAAAAGGATTCCATCTACAGTCTTAGGGGCGGGGTAATAGTTTATCAAAATCACAGCATTTTGGAAAAAAACTGTATAACTGAAGGAACTCAGTCCCTTTGACGCCCTTCTCCTAGCTATAAGAAAAAAATTCACATTCCCTATGTCCACATTCACGCCTGCCTTGGGGCTTGATTTCATCCCAGATTTGAAAGGAGCAACAAAAACCTAACTGATCTGCAATCATATTCGCCCATCATTTTTATTCCCAGTACAAAGCTCTAGCACTTGAGCCTAAATTAATACAGCAGGGAGAAGGCCAAAGTTGTCGCACAAACGCTATCATTCTGCTTTATGCTACGTTTATGCTATGTTTTTAAGATCACGGATGCCACACTATTTATGATTGTTTATCATCTGTTATGCCCCAAGAACTATGCCATGACAGCAGAGTGAAATGAACAGGAAGCGATCTGCACTAACAAAAAAATAATAAATGAGATACATCCAATTAATGAAATTATGTTAAAAGGAATACAGAAACTACATTTTTGCACTATTTCTTTATTTATTTTGAGATATTTATTTTATCTCATTGACGTTTGTGTGAACATACAGAACACATAGTTGCATGTACAAAAGTAGATGGGATAGGAAAATCCAAAATTCTTTGGGAGAGGCACATTTTTCAGATTATTTAAAAGGTTACTGTTGATTATCCAGTGAGATAATGAGATTTCTAGGAAAAATACATTCAAGGTCCGCTTAGACATACTGATTTTTATTTTATTTTCATCTTTCGTGGTTGCTCTTAGGGTTGTATATAACAACAAACAGAGGCTACAATTCTAAAATGAGAATGAACAGGCTTAAAACAGCCTTTAACCATTTTGTCTTTTTGTGATATGAGGAAGGAGGTAAATGGGACATGATAAGAGGAAGGCCATCATCCCTGGCACCGTAGTGAAGGCTGCCTTTAACACAAATTTTCTGTACTCAAAGAGAGATCTCGATTGGACTCCAGCGATGACAAGGTGCTGGAACAGCAGCTTCTTCGTCACCTCAGGAATTCAAAACTGTTCCAGAGGACTGCAAGCCCATGGCCAAAATCTGCCCACATCAACTGGAGACTAAGGTAGAACTATAAAGATTGAGTAGGTGGAGCAATATTCCTATCACTTCTGCGACGGATGTGCCTTTGGTATGTAGGACTTAGGTATCTACCTTAGCAAGAAGGTACCTCAGAAGTTAACCACCTGGACCCAAGACAGTGATTCAGCGTATTTAAATACAGGCGCCTCACCCAATAAAACCTAAATTCAGTGGCTGCTGAGAAAGTCACTGTTATGGGAGCGAGAAATACAGAACCTGGTTGCACATATTACATGCATATTTAAGCCAATGATTTCTTAGATGCAAAATGTGCAAGCAGCACCAGAAATTACAAAGTAGCCCCCTTCCTCCCACTCCATACCATTAGGTTACAAAGCCAGGAATGGTGCCTATCTGGTGGTGCAGTTGCTTAGCTGCAACAAGGCAGGGAAAGGCAGGGGAGAGAAAGAGTGCTCGCACCCAAAATATTTTGTCCAATATCACATACCAGCATTCCCTCACCCCTTCCAAATGCCCCTTACAGCCAGCGAGCTGTGCCACTCTTATCACCCACAGTCTGTGTTCAACTCTAATGTTTTTGAAGTACCCTAGAACTTGACCAAGTTCAGAAAGTCACAAGAACAAAACAAAGCAAGTGGTGAGAGGAAAAACTGCATCTCACTGAATGTATGACCAGTCTTGACACGTGCCTGAACACACTAACCACAAACACAATCATTCTTATATCAACTTAAGATACAAAATACAGCAAAGAGATATCAGCAGCATGCCTTTAGTGTCAGTACTTTGGGACTTGTTTGTCTCAGAAGGGAAACTATACTGAAAACACCACTAATAACTGCATCAGCAAAAACACTCTGACGTTTTTCTTCGTAGAGGCAGCTAGTCATTTGACACCGTTTAGTCAGAAGAAAAGCCTTAACAGGACATAGTTCACGGACACCGCCAAAACGCAAAATGGTCAAACCTTAGCTCTGAGGGTGAGGCTCATACATATGGCTCCTACCTCTTGCTTCCTGGCTTTGCTGAGCTCATTTAAGTAGTATGCCTCTTCTATAACCAGTGCAACAAGATGCAGATGGCTGCTGCCTCTCCCCGTGCTGCTCCTCAGCAGCAGACTAATACCCTGGCCCCTCCCTGCCCTGCCTTTGACAGAAACCCATTACATAACGTGTGGACTTACGTACTCACAGAGAAGAAAGTCAACTTGGACAATATAAAGCTCATGAGAAAATATGAAATAAAAAGCCTCTGGTGAAGGAAGAAGACAAAACTGATATGGTACCTGTGGGAGAAAGGCACACCTACATAGAGTTGCCAAGAAACTTACTGCAGACTAATAATTGCGTAGAGCAACCATGCCAGACTGCAATTATTCAAAAGTATAAATAAATGGAAGGACAGACTCAGCTTGAAAAGCACTAACTAACGGTACACTGTCTAAAACCATGTACCTCCATATTTGTTAAGATTTCAGTGCCACTCTGTCTCCTCTCTCTCCTTGATTGCCTACCGCAGTTATAAAGCTATTAGGTGGAAGTATGGGAAACTTTAAAACACCGGGCTCAATTTTTACAAATTTTCAAGTTCCCTCTAGTGAGGAAGAGATACTCATTTGCATATTTCCAGTAAACCCAGAATGGAGACATTTGTAGTTAGAATAGGTCCTGTGATTCAGTCTGGTTTAGTGTCATACATCCATTTTAATGTCAAGTATTTCCAAAGAACTTCCTCTTTAGTCGGTGCACATGCAGAACTCGATATATATCATTTTAAAAAGCAAGCCTTGACAAAGTATAAAGTTACTTTTTATGCCACTTTTGTTAGAGACATGTGGTGAATTTCCAGTTTTTAAGGTCTAAATAAACCAAGATTGTTTTTTCAATGAAGATAGGATGATCTCATTATATCCCAACTTTATATAACACTGTATATGAGATTAAAGGGCTACTCCCCCCAAAGCTATGAGCATCCAGCGTTTGTTAAGCTCTGAAAAAGTCACTGTGCAAAGATACTGCAGTTAAATTCACACTGTTGGAATAGAGAATTTCTGGCCAACAACATAAAACCTATCTAGGTCATTTTCGGGTAGTCACACCATCATAACCTACAATCTCAGCTGCCATATCTTTAGGGGATCAAGCAAATGCTGAGCAGAGGAAATGGAGTATGCTGTAAATTGGTTGGCTCACCACAGGAAAAAAACACACTTACTTTTTTTTGGTTTCTTAGCATCATGTGTCACTACTCGTCCTTTGCATTAAGTTTCCTAACCTCCTCCCACCCTGTAAGAAAGGCCAACTTCCCCTCTGCTTCCCTCATGTCTCTCCGAAGTTGTACATTTTTTAGAAAAAGGAAGTAGCTTTAGATTCTCTTTTTCATTAGGTAAACCAAACATTGAAGCTCTCTAGCATGTTACACGGCAAAGACATATATGCTCTCTTATTAATTGAAATATTTAAAATCATTGTACTTGACTAACATTTAAAAAAAAAATTCAACAAGGAAGGAATATGCGAACTGTTGTGTGAGAAAAAAATGTTGAAAATTATTTTGCCTAATGGTAAGTGAGAAAATAGACTGATTAGAGAAACATATCATTTATCAAACTAAGAGAAAGCATGCCAAAACCACCCAACAAATAAAATCGCTACACATGTATTCAACCTGTAGTTATAACCTGCAATGTAATTGTAACATAACAAAATCTTTTGTTTTGGTTTTCTTTGGGAAAATAGCTGCTAAGAGTATAAACTTTTTTACAAGTTAGCCTGAAAGAAAAATAAAAATCCAATAATAATAAACTAATTCTCTTCAATTTCCTTCACAGTTGACTAGGGTCATGAATTTCCCAAATATATTTAAATATTTTTCTTCCAAGTCCATCAGTGCTATCTTTATTTGCCTAGGATGATCATTATCAGATCTCAGCCATTCTTTGCGCATTTGCAGGCATGAGCGTACTACTATTTCAGCACAGTATACCTGTTCTTGTGACTTAATGACAGGTTCCCCCAGGTTTCTGCTAGAGCTCTGTAGGTGATCATCATCATATTGTTGACAAAACCTCTTTACACAAAAAAATGATACTGGATTTATCTGCCCTAATGTAGACATCTGCACTTTAAATGTCTACCTATAAGCTAGTAGTTTCAAGTTATTTTTGTAGTGAAGACAGAGAAATAGATATTGCTAAGATATGATTCATCTCACCCTATGGCAGATGTCTCCAAAGTACACACACAACTGAACTACTGTCACAGATTGCCTCTGTAAGCAATGAAGAAGTAGCTGCTTCTAAGACACAGTTCATCTCATTCTAAGCTATGGTAAAGTTGTAGCCACGATGGTATAAAAGCACAGGATAGGAAAGGTTGATAGTTAGAAGCCACACCTCTTACTAAACCACCTAGTATAATTGACTAA